AGGGACCGTAAAAACTCCTGAAGCGGTAGCGTAGGAACCCTTAAAAGCACAGTCCCGCCTGTTTGGTTACTAATTCATTAGAAGCAGTTGGCATTGAAGTCTCGCTAACTTCCGCCTCTTTAGAAACATTTCTCTTTATTCCCCCCATCTGAACAAAACATTTCGGATTTCCCCCTCTTCCTCCCGCCGAACGACTCGACGATCGTCACAGACCCCCGACACTACCCAGTCGTATGGGCGGCTGGGTGACTTTTGAAGATTTCCCTTCTTACACAAAAAAAAACTAATCCATTAACAGTTTACTCAAGAGGTGGAACGTATGCCATCATTTGTGTGTAGTAATTAAAATAATCAAGTGTAATAAAGGTTCATATAACTTCATTACGCCGTTCGTGTCGTGTTTTGTTTATTACATTTTAGATTAACATATATGCCTGCCAATATTGGGTCGTTCTGTATGTCAAATCACCTCGACCGTCAAAGTATGTGTGTTAAATGTTTTTTTTTTCGTATAGGTACTAATGTTGTACGACTTAATTGCCCCTAAAGGTTTTAAATATGTGTATGAAGATTATTTTAATGTGTGTTTGTTAGGTTTAGGAGTTAAGGTTAAGTCAAGTCTCACGTACGAAGTTGTAGTGTTTTTTTAAAATAAGGTATTGAGTCAAAATTTATTTTGTATTGTACTTTGTGGAAATGTAGCTAAATGAAAAATATTCTTTATAAATTGAATTTGTTACAACTCGGAACACTAGAGTACCTACCTCTTGATTTAAAATAGTGTTGTGTAAGATTCATTGATAATCCATATTTGTTCTAGATTTAAAATTACATTGAAAGGATACTTAAATAAAATAAAGGCAACGAGTGTACGTGATGGTGCTACTTATTTTTATCAATAAGTAGTAGATCATGTGACGTCACAGATTAGCTAGAGGTCAAACTAAGTTAATCTATTTCTCATTTGTTTATTGACATTGATTTCGCTGATTTATAAATTTTGATATATATTTTAATTCCCTTAAGATTAACATAATATTATCAGCACCATAAAACTTCTTCATTGAAGTAGGGCCCTCTTTTTTATTCGCTACAGAATCCAGACAACGCCTTTAAAGTTATTTCTAAAGTATTTGATCTCATTCTGGGAGTGAATACCACGAAATCTTTCGTACATAAATAATTCAATCGCCCATCTTATTGCCAACCGTACTGTCGCATTGCAATAGCTTGAAAATCGGTCACCCTGAGCACTCCAAAAGAATCATTCGACCGTTCAAAATCACATTTTGCTTTTGTTTGTCAGACAACGATTTATCATGGCTTAAACAAGTGCAGTCAGATATCGAAGAATGGATTCTCTTGAATATGACACTCGGGTAAGTTCAACTTATTTTGATTTAAAGCCTCTCTTCTGAAAAGTATCAAATGAGAAACATAATTAGAATTGTTAAAAGTGATATTTTGTATCCCACATATACATATAAATACAATGCTAATTTTACTTATCCGTCATGTTAAACAAAATCTTAACTAATACAGCGAATCTACGGTGCAGCTTATATCTTGGGCAATAGTCTGTCGATTTCGAGCGTAATTGGTAGTTTCAGTAAACTACTCAGCAAATTTTAAATATTTTTTTATAACATCTGGGCGGATACACCCTGTCCTCCAGGTGATAGGAGCTCCACCCCATCCTCATCCGTTTCCTCTAAAATAGCTCCAATCCGAGCTGCTCTTCAATAATCAGAGCAGCCAGCGCAGGCCAGTATTGTGCTGTAGATCTTCCTTCGCACCTGGTGCTGACCATTGGTCACCCTTCTCAGTACTATTAGCCTATCCAACCGACCTGTCAATCTCGTGAAGTTAGAGCACGCCCCCGCCTTTTCTTCTTTAGTTATGATATTTATACCCCCTTTGGCCGTCTTGATAATTCTAACGACTTCCGCACCTACATTATCAACGTCGATCTCTGATCAGAACTTACGGAAGACACCCGCTTAACTGGAGCGATTTCCTATCGCCTCTCCTCCGATTGTAAAGGTGATATTAGCCGGTTTTTTCTTATTTCCCACCTTTCTCGCTGGTTCCCTTCTCTGCCAGTTGTGCTATTGAGGAAGATCTCCACTCCCTCCTCCCTTCCCACAAACTCGAACATCCTCCTCAGTCTATTGCCCTTCTTTGTACCTAGAGCATCAGTGATTACCGGGGTTATCCCCCTATTCCTTATGATATCTGAGACCTGCCACAGTTTTTGAAAGAGATCCTCTCCCTCCGTTTACGACGTCACTGTTGCACTCTAACGGTGCTCCTGTTCCTCTTCCTCGTCTGACTCGCACAGGGTGTACAATCTGCCGGATCTGACAGCGTATACGCTCTGAGCTGCTTTGATCTTCCGTAAGAGCCCTTCTCAGTTCCCCGCTATGGGGAAACCCACCGAGGTAATCTTCCCAGTCTATTCCGGTGGTGTGTCTCTCTTTGCAAAAGTGTTATGAGCCGAAGGAGACATCTTTAATTTCATCTTAACATTAGTTGAGCTATCTAAAATTCTCACAAGCTTGCCGACTTTCTTTAATTTCGCATTGATGTTGTTTACTAATTGCCCGGCTGTGGGATTCTCCTTGCGTTTAGGAGAAACTATCATTGAGTCCTCTGACTCTGGAGAACCACGCTTCTATTTTTTTTTCTTATAATTGTCTGTGCCCTCGGTCACATCCTGCACATCCAGGAATCACCTTGTCCTCTTCCGTAGTAGTTGTGATATCCGCAAATATATCTCTTCGTCTTCTGGCAAGGATTTGGATGGGGGTGATCTTTTCTATAGGGTCGAGACCGTCGCCGTCTCCATGGGACTAGCGGGACGCATAATCTGGATCACCTTCGTAATTCTACCGGGTGCAGTTAACTGGAGGGTTAGTCTTCAATGTTCCCAGAAGAACATGGGGATTCATCGAAGAACCGTCACAGGGAAGACCAATCCAATATATCGAAGCCCGACTAAGGTGCAGTCCGCCACGCTGGACAGCGGACGAATCGAGGCGTTTACTTCTGCTCGTCAAACTCCGTCTCCGATATAAAAAAACGATGAGAAAAGGGAGATCGAGTCAATCAGCATGGAGTGCGCCTATCCTCCACTAGTGTCGCCCCTAAATCCGGAGGACTTTAACGAATACACTCCGGTGCCTCTGGCCGTCACCCTGCTTCCTCCGACACCAAAGTACGAAGAACCTCAGGTACAATCTGACCAAGCAGGTGAAACCAGTACTAGCCACACCTGAATGCCTTTTCCCATGAATGTATCACCGGTGAATTTGGACTCCCTAAACACCACGCCGAATTAATTTCATGATACGAGACGCTCAACTCGAGATTCATCGCCATAGGGATCCGTTACCACCAGCAGACGATTGCTGTCGCCAAAGAAGGTCAAGCACATCTCGTTTGTTGACATCGCGCTCAGGGAAGACGAAGCAACCCAATTGAGCAAAGACCAACGAGCCGAGCTTGTCCGTCTACTCCATTCCTAACAAGATCGCTTTTCAAATCACGGACCGCCAACACGCCAAATAACTCACCACACCCGCATCGGAAATCATCCGCCGTATGCCGTGCCCTCTTACCGACTAACTCTCACCAAGTCCACTAAGCCCCAAGCGGAAATAGAAGAAATGCTGACGACTGGTATCAAAGCCGGATGGGAGCGTTAGGGTCTGTATTGACTACTGCGGATAACAGAAAACCGACGGTGTTCCGCTACCCCGGATCGACAATCTCCTACAGCGCACGGTGAGAACTCCCTTCATGACGTCACTCGACCTTAAATACTGGCAAATTGCTGTCGCCGTGGAAGACCTACCAAAAACGGCATTCATCACACCGTTCGGGACCTATTCATTTAAAACAATGCCAATCGGTCTTAGGTGTTAGCCTATCTCGATGATCTGAGAGTACTGTTTTCCAACTTGGGCCCACATTTAGAGGACCTAGAAAAGATTATTCTTCGGATACGAAAGTTCAACCTTCGTATGAATTGCCCAAACTGTCGGTTTGGCTGTCCTAAGATCAGATACCTAGGTAATATACTTTTATCTGAGGGCATCCTCACCGACCCTGAGAAGGCTTCGGCCATTCGTTTTCTGCCTCCTCCATAGAACCTTTGACTACTCCAGGGTGTATTACCTATTCGTGATACCGGTGACTTATGAAGGGTTTCGCGGAGATAGGTTGCTCCCTTAGTCGGTTAACCAAGCAAGACACAGCCTGGGAATAGGAACCGGAACAATAACAGGCGTTCTACACTTAAAAAATGCCTGACAACTTCATCTATTTTATGAAAAGTGGGCCTCTCGTAACTGTTTATTCCACGCACCGACGCCAGCCGATACACTCTGGGAGCAGCTTTGCTACAGGAGAGGGCCTCGATGAATGTGCCGTTTGAGTATGCAAACAGACTGCTTACACCGAAATTATACAACTACGGAACGTATAACCCTAGCCATCGTGTGGGCAATACCCCAATTCTGAGGGTACATTGAGAAAGCATCTGTCGTGGCTGTTACTAATCACCAACCCCTGAAGTGGTTGATGAATTTGAAGACAGCATCCGGACGATTGGCGAGGTGGGCTTTACAACTACAGTCCTACGATATTTCTATCTATGATGGTCCCAACCGAGCCAATGTAGTAGCAGATGGACTATCAGGGCCCCTCTGTTCCAAAGAGGAGTTGCTCCCCGTAAACACGGTAAGCTTGGACTGTCCGACACGCACTCCCGCGAAAACACAAGCCGAAGAAACGAAGGACCCTGACTAAAAGAAAATCCTGGAGGCGTTCATCACCAGATTAGAAGAACTCGAGATAAGCCGTCATCTTGTTCGCAGATACCTCGTGTCCCAAGGAGTACTATACCGTTACGCTCGCGATAAGGGCGCGGAGGAACCCCAGTTAGTCGTGCCAATCCAGAATTGGAAGAAATTCTGCAACAGTATCATGACGCCCCAATGGCTGGACACTACGGAGTAGATCGGATATGGTAACGCATCGCATCCCATTACTTCTGGGTTGAGACATCGTCACACACCTTAATGACTGCGTCCAATGACAACGATTCAAAGTAACGAATTTAAAGCCGGCCGGACTGCTACAAATACCAGTGATGAAACGCAGATTTGAGGTTATAAATGGATTTTGATTATAAAAGACACCGCTAGTCGTTGGACTGAGTTGTTTCTATTACCGTCCGCAATCACGGAAGCTTATGCCACCGTCATCCTAGACGAAATCGTATTACGCTACGGGACCCCCAGGAGGGTGATCAACGACAACGGTACCCAGTTTATAAGTGGAGTGATGCAACAACCAACTCACTTCCTCGGAATCGCCCAGGATCTAACACCGCTATACTACCCGACCGCTAATCCAGTGGAAAGGCGAAACCGGGACTTAAAAACACCGTTCGCTATTGCGACCCCCAAAGATCAAACCCAATGGAACGAAATGCTCTGCCCAGCATCCGCTTTGCTTTAAACTCGGCCTATTGTAGTGCCACTGGATTTAGTGCGGCACATCTTACCTTTGAGAGAGAACTTCGCAACTCCGAGGAAGCGCACCAGGATCTCCGAGCCATTCTTCAATCAGATAACTTCGTATCAGAGATCACCCCAAGACCCCTAGATCTCACTAACCTGCTCCGACTAGCTCGAGACGGGCATGAGGTCCAACACCGTCGCCAACCCACTCCGGCCTACCGTCCAGGAGACTTGGTTTCGGTCATATCCATAGTCGAAAAAAGGCCAGTCAAAATATTTCCTCTAAACTTGCCCCCCGTAGAGAAGGACCATATGTCGTCCTAGGATAACGAGGAACGACCAGTTTTGAGATTGCCTATATCTAAGGATCAGCCGTTAGGTATCGCCGGAGTCTACCACACCTCCTCCCTAATTCCTTTCCGAGGACCTGAGAGAGACATCGCCCCCCAACTAGCCGAACGGAAGAAAGGACGCCTGAAGAAGTTCCGTCATGGGACCTAGGTAAACGACTAGAGGGAATGTATAACGAGGACTATTTAAAAAACTGCACTTTTGGCGCGCTTTAAACCCCAGCAGTTCTCCTACGTGTCTTACCACCCCACGGACGGCGCCACTCGAGACCTGGTACTTGCGATCTTCAACGCTCCCCTTCTTCTGACAACCACCCTCTAAGTACTCGCTATGCAACCCCTCCACACCGGACATACGTAAATAAAAAGGCGATGCTCCGGTCAGGAACAAGAGATCTCATCTTGGTCTGACTCTAAAAGCTTTCCTCTGGAACGTTAGAGCTGATCTACCGAGACAGAGAGCAGTATTCCCAGCACTATTCAGGAGTTTTCCTTTACGGAACCCGGGCCATCTAAACTATTAAGAGCGATAACGAAGTTTAGACAATTGTTACTCATATCGTGCGTAGTGATAAACTCGGGCCACACGCGGACTCACCTAGTATTACGTTTTTTCTTTTCTTGTGCTTTGTTACATTTATATTTGTGTAGGTTTATTAATGGTTAAATAAACTTCACCTTGAAAACGAAAAATTTCTCATTACAATTTATAATATTAATATTTTAACACGTTCTTTAGCTTGTAGGTGTGGTATTAAATTTGGTTGTCATCGAATGGTCTCATCACAGCTCTGAAGCTCTGCTTCTCGTCCTGCTCGATATTAGTATCGTGTTTACTGGGTCACGCCTGTTTGTACTGAATGTTTTTCTGCGTGTGAAGTGAAGATATTTTGTTCCACTTATATGGTTCCCTGAGAAATATCAGAGCCGTCTTTTGTGATTGTTGCGGTTCTCCATCCGATGGTCGCTTAGCTCACTATACACTGTATTCTGACTACATTTAGCATAAATCGCACCATTTTATACATAGAGCGCGCTATTTACTTGGCGGAACTTGAATCTCTAACTACTACCATATGGACTTAAATTAGAATATGACCAGGGAGGAATCCCTAATCAACTTGTCTTAAGTGGTATGCACTAGACGTTAAGTGATACGCTCTAGAGTAAGCGGCAGTGTGAAAGATTTCCCTGATTCAGACATGCATTAGATTATGGTGATAGCGAGTTTCCTAGTTAAAAAACATAAAGCGATATACACTGACGGTTTATTTTAAGTTCATCTGATTGGCATATGTAACGTATTGTGCATATTATTTAAATCAAACTGTCGAAGGATGATTGATACAATAAGAGAATGAAAAATTCAAACTCGCTTGAAGTTCATATATTGAGTTTTCTTACACATTCGATGTGTTCAATTCTTCTAATTAGGAATGTAGTAGATTGTACATTTCGTTGCTTTCGTCCATATACCAGTTTGCAACGTACAAAGGCTCATTATATATTCTGGTGGCGTGAGTTTAAACGAGCCTATTAGCTAAACGGGATATATATATTTATAATACATCTTAGTTGCGTGTCGACTTTGCAGTGCGTTGTTTGGTGCACATGCCTAATTATCCGTACAAGATAATTGACTTCTTCCTTTGAATACTAAGCACTAAGTTGCGAATGAGGTGAACATTGTGTTATTAACTTGAAATGATAGTAGAGTTGTGAATAAAAGTTAATAATATGGAGGGAGGGTTAATCGGTAATGAGTCGTACTTTTCAAGTTTACCCGAACAATTTGAGTGTAGTGAATACTACTACTGATCAAATTAAATAATTAATGTAAAAAACCTTTTTTTCTTCGTCAAAGGAAAATTGATAGACGAATACAGAAGGCGTAAAGGTAATCAAGTTTCACATCATGATGATACACTAATGAAGATAAGCTCAAAAGGGTATAGTGAACACAAGAAGCAAACTTGTTTCTTCTGCAAAAAGGAAAACCACATTAAGAAGGATTGTAGAAAATACCAAGCGTGGAAACAGAAGCAGGAAAATAGAAATAAGAAAAGTAGCGTGAATAAAGTTAGTGAGCATCATCATCATAAGGTCATCAGTCCTAAGTCTGGTTGGACACGTACCTCCACTCTTTCCTATCCTGAGCTAAACTTCGTATTTCCCTAAAACTAGAACAGCCCACATCCTTAACTATTTGCGAACAGTAATCTAATCTAGGTCTACCTCTACCCCTCCTAACTCCTGTTTCTGTCTCTAATATGTCTCTGACTAGACCTTCATGCCTGAGAAGGTGTCCTACCAACCTATCTCGCCAATTTTTTATTGGCTTCCATAGAGTCCTCTGTTCTTCTATTCTTTCTAATACCTCTTCATTTCTAACCTTTTCTACCCACGTTATCCTCATCATTCGCCTATAACACCACATTTCGAAGGCTTCTAACCTTTTCTTTTCTGCCGCACCCACTGTCCATGTTTCGCACCCGTACAACGCCGTGCTCCAAACATACACTTTTAACAATTTTTTTCGAATTTCTAAATTAACTGTTCGCGAGCATAGAAGTGACTTCTTTTTATTAAAGGCGACACGACCCCTTGTGATATACATTGTGCACTAATATTTTCAAAGGTTTTTATAAAAATTTTAAGGTATAAATAAGTTTATTATATATGCATATTTTTTTCAATTTCAATTTTCCCTTAATTTCTGTGTAATGATTACAGAATGGGTAAAAATTGTTTAATAGATTATTATTCATACCTATTTTGAAATAGAGGATGATTTACAATATCGATAAAATAGTATTTATTAATTTTATTTCTGCAGTTATTACAGTTTTTCCTTCTAACCAAAACTCTTTATTTGAATAAAATAAAATATAAAATTAATCTGATGACGGTAATATGTGTAATCGATCATAAGGAAAAATCAAAGGATTACGAATGCACTTTCCATCTTGTTTTCTGTTTCATAACCATTCTTTACAAACTTCTCAAACTTCCAGTAAAATTTTGTCAGAATACTATGTCAAAGCTGCACTACTTACCACACCCATTCCAGAAGCTTGGAATAAAAGATGTCGAGTTTCCTCATACTTTTAATATATGATAGGAGTTTCCACCCTGGCTATATCTCTTTAACATTTCAGTTGCTTCTTCCGGTATTTCAGCATAAGTCGTATCTTAGGCATTTCACACTCGTCTTTTTTGTACTGAATAAAAATGATTGCTGCAACCCGGAACGTAATATTGAATTTCGTCTTCTGGTCGTTAGGCGGTCGAAATTACTCCGCTTATAGCTTCCTACTGTAACCATAAAGAAAGCGGTCCTCGCGAACACGTATAACACGTATGCTGCTATTAGGGTGCACTACAGATTTATAACTAAGTCTGGCAATAAATGATCTCACCACGTTCGCTTACCTACCATCTAATACAGAACTGATTTTATACATTGAATTTATAGCAGTTTTTACGGTTTTGGAAATGAAAAGTGATATAACCGTTGAGGTTTTTACTACGACATTTAAGCAGAAAGTTTATAGTTGATATGTTACAACTTCCATACAACTCCGCAGCACGTGTCTTTTATTAAACCCTTAAATTTAAAAGTCCCTGCTTTGATGGATCGTTATTATAATCAATAGAAAAAACGTGCATTAAAGTGTTGTGCCTAAACAACAAAAAAAAGTATTAGTGAATGACTGAAATAACTTAACCTCTTTATTAAAAAGAAACCCCATATATAAATAACGAATTGAAATCCTTTTATAAGTATACATACAATGTAGAAATCTTCCCGAAGTGAGTTAGTTTTTAATATGAAATATTCTCAATTTTTACCCACTACACACTTCCTCAAATTAATGAATCCTTTATAAGTGTCACAAGTGAGTCTAAACTTTGTCGTTTCAGCATTTTTAAACAAATGATTAATTCGAATTCTACGCATCTGCGGGATGTTTTAATCACTTTTTATGAAATACTTGTCTAGATATGTACGGGTTGCAGTCAATATCTTGCTGCCCCTTTCTCAACTACATTTGTGTATTCCATATTGTGCTGAACCCTCATAGACATTTTCTCATTCTCCGACAATGGACCTATTTTAAGAGGAAATTTAGTTCGCTCTATGAGCTTCTTTTTCTTTTGTGGGAATGGCACCTTGATTGATTTTTCAATACTTTCATATTCATTAGAAAGTCATTTATAGAACTCACGAAAATACACAGATACATTCCTATGATGCGTGCATAAGTCACGCACGCGTGAGCCGTGTGACTTATCGCCTTGAACTCTTTCTAAATTGAGCATTGAATCTTCTCGACTTATAATTTGATGGATGTGTTTATGTATGTTCCTACCACTTACGCAAACACTACCTCTTAATTCGTAGCAAGTATACTATTAATGATATCGAGATCTGCTGATACAATAATACTAGCTGATCTTAAAATTATACGAAGTGCAACATTCGAGGATGCTTTTTCTAATTTTTTTTTTATGTTTTCGCGGAAGAGGGGAAATCTTCAAAAGACGCCCATCATTCCGTACGACTGGGTAGTGTCGGATTCCCGAGGAAGAAGACCTCAGGCCGTTCTGGGACCAGCTAGGGTCCTCTTCAGCCGTTTTTCTAATTCTGTTTCATAAATATACCAGAAATCTAGACACTAAATCTAAATATTGAAAGGTTCAACTTTTATCAAAACTTTTAATGAATCAGTGATGATTTTTTATTATATATATACTAATGATATTGTACACTAATTAGTATTGAATCTAAAATAACAATTAAGCTCATTATCAGTTGCTTTAATATTGCTACATATGATTAATGAAATGATTCCATGATCCTATTAATAAACAGTGTCCGTAATTTCAAATAAATATTCCGTTTGAGTTTCACGCAATTTTTATATTTCTGTTGGCAATTGCAGTCAAATTGGAGAGCAAATAAATTGAGAAAATTAGCCAATTATCTTCCTGCATTTGCGTTCTGGTTTGTTCATATTTCGACTATCGGTATAGCATTATTACATACATACGTATTTAGAAACTTCTGTAATTACGTTTCACTAAAACAATATTCCATTGCAGAGGCAGTTAGTGGATGATATCAAATTAAGCTTATTTATTATTTATACACAATTACAGAATATTGTATGGCAAACGTAAGGCTGATAAACAATTATAAGTAGCGATTAACAGATGAAACTATCAGAGTGTTCTTTGATTTTTAAATGGAAATAAATAATCAGAAATGGTTAAGTTCTTGATCGATAATAAAATTTACCTAAAGTACAAGAGGCGGATCGTGATTCCACGATAAGTCTGTTACTCCGCCCGTGATTGCCACGTTTCGCTGCCGTGACATTCACTAGGTTTCTTACTTGCACCAAGCATTTGGTGTGGAGATTTACTCTCGGAGGACCCATGCCCCAGACCAACCATATACCTAGTCAGTTCTGACGTTGGTAATAAGGGAGTTTCCCTGTGGACTGAACATCACGAATCCCTTCAACATGACTTCCTGAAAATGAACCGATCTACGAGCAGAGAGTCACATCTTCGGCGGAGCGCAGTGCCGTCATCGTTTCGTGCAGGCTCTACAACTAAAAAAGGAGGCAGACGCCGCCGTTTGTCTTTGCCGAAACAACCGACGTCGCTAATTCATCCAAGAAGAGGAGACTCGACTGATGATGTCCAGGTGCCATCGCGTATTTACTCCACGTTTACTGCCCGACCTCTTACTAGAGGGCCCCCTACTGCCGCTGAAGATGTATTGTCCACCAAAAGAACGAAACAAGGGTATATAATATGCTAAGGTAAAGTCCTTATGACTAGGTCGCGTGGTTACACCTGTGACGAGCCCCATCTATCCTGGTCTGATGTTTTCGGAATAAAAGACCCGCAATTTTCTGAGACAGGATGCAAAACTTCGGGATCCCAACAATTTCCTCTCCTCGTCTGTACGCGCTTATATAAGGTTGATAGCCACGGACAGGCAAGCTAGAGGACGGTCATAAAATCCTAACTCAGGCCCCCCGAGGATACGCTGACATCACATCTCCATTCCGCAGGGGCTGATAGCGGCCTTGGCGTACCTGGTGTCCCTAGCATAATCGTGCCCCACCTAGGTAAACTTAGGTCGAACTAACTGACGATTCAAGCAGTTTTCCAAACCAGCACTTTTGCTGCGAATAGCTGGATTAAACGACATCAATCTGTTCAGAAAGTACGGGCATCGACACTGGTAAAAATGTTGCACATCTGACGATGGCAGCGACATGATGGAATGCAGCAAAAGCTCCCTCCTTACTCATAGGTTCGCCTTTTCACCGAATACCAAGCAGGGACAACGTGCAGCATCATCACGTGCTAATCAACACCTTCTTTCAGGATCTCTAGAAGGGAACGCAGCAGTCGTAAAGTAACATGCCTAGCCGGCTGTACTGTCACCAAAACAGCACCATATATCGTACAATGCTACTGCAGGACCCATGGAGGAAGAATGAAGGAACACGATGCTCTATTTCCGTGGGTCTGGAGTCCTACATCCCATCAAAATCAGGCCGCAACAGGACTCGCTTATAACCGGCGATCTTGGTCACCAAAGTGCTGTATGAAACTCACACTAGTTGAACCCGGTTCAACCAGGGAAGATATTGGATGAAACCAAGGCCCATCTAGGTCCAGGAGCATTCTGTAGTCGCTCCGATGTTCTTTGTGTTGTCCCATGTACAATGCTTTGTATTATACTTTATATGAACTTGGTTGTGGTATATGTGATGTATTTGTTGCTGCACAATAAATGTATAAAATAGTCCGGCTGAGTTGAGTGGTAAAATGAGCGACTAAAAAAAAAAATTTGTAAAACAAACTAATTTATATTAAACGAACTCCTAAATAAAAACCCTGACAATACTTGTGTACAATAAATTGAACAAGGCTTTATTGTACATCTACCACATATATCCTTTAATTTAATCAGCACAGTTATTTACTATATGTCAACTAGAAACATTCGACTGAATTCGTATCACGTTAATTTAAAAATAAAATATAGTAATTAATAAATATTTTATACTTTTGAATTGATAACTCAAAATTGGGTTGCTTTCCGACTGTACTTGAACTGTAACCTGGAATGAAAGTGTCGATAATGAACTTTGACAACTTTTTTTGGTTTATAAAAGCCCATAAAGCACAAAAATGCTTATGGAAGAAAAACGAAAACTTAATTTTTCAAATTATCGAAATACGTCGTTATCGTTAAAATTTATTACTAAGAATAATGGTAAAAAGATAAATCTTCATAAGATATCGTGTTAAATGTTCCTTTTTGAAAACAATATCATCCAAATGTCAAAGAATAAGTTCCTATTATTTTGGTTCATATGCCTATTAGTCTATCGCGTAGCTATATACGAAACAAGAGCTTATCCGCATAGTATGACACTGAAACGATAATAAACATACCTAGCATCAATATGTAAATGAGGAGAAAAGATCCTCCCACATTTTATCCACTCATTACTACCACAAATTATGAGTAAATGAACTTATAACTATATTTAATAATTTGGATAATAATTTTTGCAAGGATGTACCACTACTTAAGGATTTTAATATTCCCCTAGATAGAGCATTGATGTTGATTTTAAATAGAACATCTAACTTACTAAATAAATTAGTTAGTGCTATAACTTCATATGGAAGTACCACAAAATATGATAAATATTTTGTGGTAAAAATACTAGTCTGCAGAAGGTGTAAAATAAATATTTTAAAAAAATTCGTCATGAGTAATACTTTATTTCTTTCTTTCTTTTTTTTTTTTTCGTATGCTAACAATTTAAACTGAACGTTTCGTTTGACTATTGAATCATACGTAACTAGAAGGACAAAAACCATTTGGAGGAGTTGTAATAATAAATAATAAGGTAGGTGCGGGTAATAAGACCTGTGTAAAAAATTGAATTTAAAATTATCGTTGTCGCACAAAATCACATTCGTAGGTAATTAACATTCATAGATGGCGCCTCAAACCTGTCGCGAATACAGTGACTTTATAGTAACAGTATGGCCATACGAGCGAGAGCCGCCATGTTTCCTCCAAATTTAAATGCAGCAGCGTGGCGTAATACTCAATTTCTGGGGTTTTCAAGATTTATTACATTAAAAAAGACATAAAACGGCACGATATTTGTATCAATAGAGATGTAAAGCACTCAGACTGACTTATAAGAGGATTATTGCAAATAGAAATTAAACAAATTGTAGCTACTGAGTAAAATATTGTATGTATATGTCTCGAAATCAGAGACTTAATAAAATCGAGGAAAGGTAGAGATATAATACAAGTGTAGATGCAGCAAGTAATAACTGTAATTAAACACATGAAATAACAAAATGACACTTACAATTTATATGAACGCTAACATTATTTTAACATTAATACCGCACCTGAATCAATACAATTGTCGGTATTTCGTCCTGATTATATTTACAAATTCTGTGAACGAATATGACAATTAACAAGCGAAATGGCTAGCTGTTTTTAAAGGGTGTTTATCAGTTACCTTAGTCACGTAGATATAAGTAAATGACGTAGACAACTAGATGACTAAGTTTGATAAGACATCAAAACTTACATGTAGTTCCTTGCATAATTACAAGTGAGAAGCCATTACAGATTTACTAGCATAAGCTTGCTGTTTTTGCTTATCACATTTCTTGCTCGCAATTTTCAGGCGGAAAACTAAAAATCTAGAAATAAGTTTGGCCTTTAAATTGTGACAGTCAAGAACATGTGTAAAAGGTAAACATTCCTGAGTAACTTTATTTACAAAAAAATCCTTGAGATTAACATTTTTTTGTTTAGAAACCACATCAAAATATTGTCGAAATACTTGTTCCATTTTGACAAATAAGTCGAAAGTTACTTCATTGCAGTAAAAAAGGGCGTTATCTCGAAAACGTTTAAAATGGACCAGTTGTGCGTACTTAAAATCTAGAAACTGTTTGGATCCAACAGACTGCATGCACTTAAAGCACACTGTAGAATTTGCGTCAACAGTTTTTAAAATATAGCCACAAATGTTATATAGTGAGTTGAGTTCAGCATTGCACAGATTAACTACTGGTGGTTCATAATTTTCTAGAACTGGAGTTGAATAAGTAATCCTTTTGTGCTGGATATCTAGAAATTCAGCCAAAAACTCTCGATCATCACTTTCATAACTACTTTTTGATACTTCTTTTAAGTACTGGGCAACACTTATTAATTTTAAATGATTTTTGAACTGAAGAGCATTGGGGATGACTTGCTTAGCTCGAATAACAGAAAAAAGATTCTCCAAACAGTCTTGAGTAAATCTAGATGTTAAAATGAAAATATAATTTTTATTTGTGAAGAAGTCCTCTTGAATATCTAAAATTGACTTTGTCGAAATTAGTAGACCACTTTGGCTAGGTTTCCAAGTTCCCTTTTTTCCAACATATATGCTTTCAAAAACGGTCATTACATTTTTTAAATGAGTAATTGCATTTTCATAAGACACTTCATTCTTTTTACTAAAAGCCAGTGTTGGATGGCGAGAAGTCATTAATGAAAACCAGTTTTCAACCAAATCTAGAAACCAGGCAGTTGTTATGTACTCAGGTTTTTGCAACTGTGTACTCAAAAATTTTAGCGCACTCGACACATCATGGCTTACAACATTGGTGGATTTTTTAACTCTCATTTTTTGAAAATGACTTGGGATAAAGTCTTCTTCGGACAGTTTAGGTGCTAATTTAAACTGAAGTTTGTTTTGGTATTGGACGACATCTTCAATATGTTTTATGTTAATTATATTTGTTGGCAAATTAAATTTCATTTGAACATCTGCAGTTATTTCAATTGTGCGATTGGTCACCAACATATTTTTTATATTCTTAAAAAGATGTGGCACATCAGCCAATATATATATTCGTTTTTTGCTATCTGTAGGATTGGTTATGTAATTTACTAATTTCTCATAGCGACCTGCTGCAACACCACACACCCTCCAAAACGCCTGATTTGCTGCACCCATATCTGATGTTATGGCAACAACATTTAATCCCAATTTTTCTGTTTTTTGTATGATGTCAAACAAAATATCTTTGAAAATACTACCATCTACTGAACTGCCAGTGAAAAAATACGCAACTGTTTGTTTCCATCGCATGGTAACTCCACCTAACATAATTACTAATGCATGATTTGCCATTTCATCACTTGAATGGCTAGGTAAATTGATATTACCCAAATAAACCTTAAGTGTTGGGTCATATGTCTTTGAAGGTGTTATTGCCATCTCGTCCATTAAAATTACGCAATATTTTTCATGAGGGCTTTTGAAATTTTGAACTTTAAATTTTAAGAAATCAAAAACCTCATGAAGTGTGCCAGGTTGAAAATGAATGTCTTCTAATCTTCTTCGAACGGTTCGTAAGGATGGTAAAGGTATATGTTGTTTTAGAAGCTCTTCATACCCTGACGTACCACACACAAATCTTAACTTAAGAGACTTTGTTACAGTAGCATTAGACCACCTTCTAAATCTTGTGGAAGATCTCCGTAGGGCTTCAATTTGATCACTGGAAATACAATAATGAGTGAAAATTAATTTCTAAATAATGTGTGGGCTATTACTTATTAAAGACTTTCTGTAACAATTGTAAACTTTCTAGATCCTTAATGTATTCTGCATTTTCACGTGTCATTGTATTAATCTTGCGCTTCAACTTTCGAAGTTCATTTTTCTGTTTAACAGCACGTGCCAGGGTTTTTTTGTAAACTTGTTGATATTTTTTTATTTCATCTTCCCGTTTTGATGAATTAACAGAAGAAGGCCCTACTGTAGGTTCTGCAACGGTTTCAAGGGATGGTACTGGAAAGTCATCGAAACTTGATGACGTGAGTTTCCTTCTTTGAGAACCTATACATTTACGTTCTGCAGGAGGTTTTCTTTTGGGTTTAGGTTTAGTGAAACTAAATATTGTAGGAACTGCATTTAATTTCAGTTTTCTTGACCCATCTTCTCTCGTTTTCTCCCACATCTCAGGTTCAAAATGAACCTATAAAGTAAGAAATAAAGTCACATACATATTTATGAACTTTGCACATATCTTCAAACAATAAACTGTCAAATGTTTATGCATACTAAATTGTACACAGTTTTGTGAAAAACTAACCTCGCAAAGGTACGACTTATTCGTGGGTATCCAGTTGTCTCGCTTCACTTTTGCTTCCCATTGTTTCCTTCGTTCAGGATCTCTCGGAAACACTTTCATCAGGAAACCTTGCTCGGATCTATTTTTGCACCTAAATGCAGAACAGCCAACCATAATTTTTGCACCACGTCAACACCAAGTTTATGTCTTTACGTTTTTAAACAAGCACAATGCCGAAAAATCAGTAAGCGATAATATGCTAGAGTTTAAATTCCGAACAGACTTCACAGATTATCGCAAAACTACGCAAGAAACTTTCAAAAAGCAGCAAATACAGATGTAGATAGATAGTAAACATTTAAATTTGGAGGAAACATGGCGTCGGTTGACGCAGCCAATAGAAATCGATACCACTCTATGGCCACACTGTTACTATAAAGTCAC